CAAGGAAAGAACAAGTCAGTGACTCCTGTGAGCCTACCAGCGTGCAGGCTGAGAATCAATCTTCCCATGCCTCCCGCTCCACCAACCCCCAAGCCCTCACTCTGGTTAGCAACTGGATGGTGTCTTGAGGTCAGCCAGAGTTGAGAGCAACTAAGGCACATAAAACAACTAAATGCTTGTATTGTTTGGCTGATTATGCTGACCTGGGGCCAGAGGTCTGAGCATCTCTTGGGAGGATGACAGTATGCAACGTAGCAAATATGGGGGATTTCCTTCTATCTTCTCTTTGAAGGCAAAGGTTGTTTTCATTATTTTGCTTTGTTCTGATTAATTGTTTTGTTCTATTTAATATTCTTTTTTAATAGGTTTGATAATGTTCTAGTTTTGGTTTGATTTTGCTATACCTGATTTAGTAGACAGCTAATGTAAAGATAACAAGATATACTATGGTACCTAGAACTGTTATCCCAGTATCCTGCTCTGAAGCTCTGTACCAGTTTCACTGCATTGTCCCAGTTGGTTTTGTTCTGTCTTGTTTTGTTGTATTTTACTACCTTCAAAAAAAAAAAAAAAAAAAAAAGACTCTAACCTAGGAAAAATGATGAACTGGGTAACTGCAGAAGGGATGCAAACAATGAGTGGATTTAAGAGCTACTTATAAGTACCTAGACTTGACTGGGTACACTCGCACAATCATTAAGTGCTCAAACATCTTTGGTTCCAATCCTGGCTCTGCCACAAGTGGGGAAAGTAACTTCATTTCCCCTTCTGTACTTTAGCTTCCCATTTTGTAGAGTAGAAACAAAAATGGCACCTATTCATGGATTGTTATGTAAGAGAAATAAGATAATCCACAAAATACTTAGAACAGTTTAAGGGAAAGATTGAAAACACTAGCCAGGCATGGTGACTCATTCCTGTAATTCCAGCACTCTGGCAGGCTGAGCCAGAACAATAGAAAGTTCAAGCCCAGTTTGAGCAACAAAGCAGGACACTGCCTCAAATTTTAAAATATAAAAGAACTGGAGATAGGGCTTAGTACAAAGATCCTCAGTTTAATCCCCAGTACTAGCCTCCACCCCAGAAGAAACATATTGGTTTTACTGGATGTAGTACCTCAAAACTAGAACCAGCACAATTGTTCATCAGCTATAGAGGATATAGAAAGAAAGGGAAGGAAATCATCAAGAATCTCACAAAGGATACAGACTTGGATAAATGGATACAGGAGAGTAACTGTACCAGTTAACCAGTTTATTGCTTGTCAGTTCCAGATCTATCCTTCAGATTCATGAACCGCCAGCGGAGAGAACAAGAAGTCACCAAGAAGCAAGCCCTCCCTGCAAATCGGCGCCATGCATGGGCTGCTGGCAGGAGAACCAAATGCCAGCCCCTTCCAGCATGTGGGCTGGGAAACAAGAGATGACCTCCTCCCCTCTACCATAAGCCATCAGCTGATCCACAGAATACAGGATGTGATGATGGCTATTGAGGTGAAACGCAATTTAATGCTTGCAAAGTTTAGTGTTTTACTGATTTCGCAAGTCTAAAGTCAGTGGCCTGATCATCTATTCAGAAGATAACAATACACAGTGCAGCACCTATGGGAGATCTCCTTCTGAGGAAGGTGGCCATTATTGATTCCCTATGGTCTTGTTTTGAAGTCTTGTATCATTTTCATTGTTTCATTGAGTTGAGTTTTGTTCTGTTTCATTTTGTTTGATTTTACTATCTCTGATGGCAGGGGCAGCTATTTCAAAGATAACAAGATTTATTACGGTAGCCATTTTGGATTTACTATTATCTTATTTTGAAGTCCTGTATTGCTTTCTTTATTTTGTTTTTATTGGTTCTATTCTGTTCTGTTTTGTTTGATTTTCACTATGTCTGAAGGTATCTGCAAGTATTTTGAAGACAGCAGGAGACATCATGGTAACAATTATTGATTTCCTATTACCTTGTTTTGAAATCCTGTGTCACTTACCCTGGTTTGTTTTGATTGACTTTGTTCTGTTTTATTTTGTTTTATTCTCTTTAAAATAAAAATAAATAAAAACAAATTCTATCCTTCAGTGTGTGATTAGAGATAATGGAGATAGGCATATTAAGAATTTCTCCTGTGACGAACAAAAACTTAAATTTTGTCACTAAGAGGCACTGGAGGGGGACTGCAGCAGGAAGAGGCTTTTCCTATTTCAAGTGTTTTTCTGCTTGTTTCTTTGTGGTCCTATACATGGTGGGCAGCAGTGCCTGTGGGGGACACTGGAGGATCCCAGGAGCCTCCAGATATTCCAGGAGTTTCCTGCCCAGCCTTTCTTCCTCACCCTAGAAGGTGTCTCTTGCTTATGAGAGTGGATAAGTTCCGGCCTAGGCACCCAGAAAACTTCTTGCCTGTCCACACTTCTCCAATGTGGTCTGAATTCAAGCCAATCTGCTCTCTCCTTGAATATTCCACCTCGACTCTAGTGTATTCTTTACCCCTTAAAAGCTAATCTATTGCTATAATTAATTATTTACATTAATCATTCCTTGATCAAATTTTTATATCACTGTCTCCTCATTGTTTACCAACTGATGCAATACTATTCATTGAAATGAAAAACATAAGAAGAAAAGTAGACAATGAACAGATAAATTTCATTTAGACATAATGAACTTTATGGAAACGTGTATGGAAATCCAAACAACACTATCTGACAGGACACTGAATATCTGGGGGCCTAAAACTCAAACATGTCTGAGCTAAACAGAGGGACTTAGAATATAAATTCTAAGGCTTCTGAATTTTTAGCAAATGAAGCATACATCTAAATCCCACAAGTCAGAAAGATAGTGTGTTGTATGTTTATATGCCTAGGTGTCCTCAAGAAGCCCAAAACCAAGCCGGGCATGGTCGCTCAGGCCTGTAATCCCAGCACTCAAGAGGCTGAGGTGGGAGGATCGTTGCGAGTTTAAGACCAGCCTGAGCTACAAAGTGAGCTCAAGGCCAACCTGAACTACATAGTGAGACCTTGTCTCAAAAAAGACCAAAAAAAAAAGCCCCAAACCAACTAGCCTATATGTGTGCATGTAGAAGCAGATTTCACCAAAAGATTGATGGTCATTCCATAGTGTGTATGTTAGGCAATTTTGTTCTGTATCTGTTAATGTTTTCAAAGCTAAATGAAGATGTGCTTGGAAAGAGCCAAGCCCTATAATAATGAAGTCATTATGATCACACTCCAGACTTGGAAGACAAACCCGGTAGACAGAGGTAGGAGAGCAATTAGTCATACAGACTAAACTGGATTTTGACTAGAATCAGAAAAACTCTTGATGGACATGCCAAGAGTTTCAGCGCTAAGTGGCACACTGAAACTGTAATTACTTAAGTTCCATGTTATTCGAAAAGGATAACTAGAAACAAACACAATTTTGAAAGAGACTTAAACTGACACTTGCTGCTGTTTTCCAGGGTGTGAGCTTGGTCAACAAGATTTGCCCCTTGCTTTACCCATTTCTCAAAAGTTTGGATCTACTGACCACAAAAAAAGGCAGTTCCATCAGCAGTTTGCATAAGAACAATTTGGAAGAGAAGTATATTAAATCCTCAGGGAAATTAAACCCAAATAACCCAATACAGCATTACAAAATTAACACTAGACTATGAATTAAATTAATTACCTCCTACTGTGGGGATTCTTGGCTACCACAGACTAAAACAAATGAAGCCAATGGAGTCAGCTGCCTTAGGAGAGGTCACAGGCAAGTGTGATTTTAAAGCATTCCAAGAGTTCACCCACTGTTTTCCAACTTTCTGGCTGATCCTAGAGATCTTCAACCCAGAGAATGGTCTTTACTTCTGCCATTTTGCATCTTGAATTATGTAAGGATGCTTAATGAGGAAGACTAGAGGTGCATGATTCTTAATATCACAGAGCAATGGTATGACTTTTTGTTAAGTCACCTTCAAGTCGTTGCATACATAAGTAGCTGGCGTGTTGGAGATCCATGTAAAGGTCTTTTTCTCCTGAGAAGGTTAAAGGAACTAGTGGGACCAAGTTACATTTTTCTGGACTCCATGCAGCCTAGATAAGGCAGGGTTTTAAGAATACCAGTCAACTGCTCTGAAAGATCCTGGCTATCGCATTTCAGTAAACACACACTTATTTCTATAAATTCTCTTTTAATGCCACTGTGTCAGTATGTCTGTGGCAAAGCAGATTACCTAAATAATGTGGGCTCTGGGAGCAACAAAATTAGCATGCGTGTCACTTACCCAGCCTTTGCTAGAGTTCTTAAGGACTTTGGACAGGAAGGTAGGATATGGTAAATTGATACAAATAAAACCCCGATGATTCATGCAGATTTACCAAATAAGGCCCTTGGGGCAAATCTAAAGGATTCGACTGCTTCCTGAGTCGGCCGGTTTGTCAAAACGCCTACTTCATATTTGCTCTTCTATTCATTATTGATATTACAGCTGACATTTACTCCTGAAGCTTTTTAATAACCAAACAGTATTTCTCAAAAAATTAATAAGTGGCATTTTATTGGGATATTGTATGACTTATAATCCTTTTCATATTTTGAAAAGAGTATTCCTAGTTCTTTTGTGTGAATTTTAAAAACCATAGCTAGCTTGTATGAAATTCTTTCTTCTTCCTTCCCTGAAAAACTGGTGGAAATAATAAAACAAAATATTTTTTGTTTAAGCTCAGAGAAATAAAGCATTCTGTTTGGAATCTTAATTACTCTTACCTCAACCTTACCTAATTAGAAGAGCTTTCATAATGAGGGAAATTATTTTTAAAGTTAATGAATTTACAAACACAAATACACATTCCTTACATGCATATTTTAGTTACACTCTCTAATTAAAATTAGTACTTCAAATGTGTGGGATTGATTTCATTGTTACTGGAAACATTTTTGTTTTTGGACTGTATAAAAGCACCCTGATTTCCCTTCCTGAAAGACACTGGGCTCCATGTACTAACTTAATTTTAGATTTGGGCAAAATGGAAATTATTTCATCAAAAAGGTTCATTTTATTGACTTTAGCCACTTCAATCTTGTTAACATCAAATATCTTTTATGCAGATGAACTAACAATGGGACATCTTCACAGCAAAGAAAATTATGACAAATGTTCTGAGGTAAGTTTTTAAATCTAATATGACCAGCATTCTATATGTAACATTTGTCCTGAATCTGATCCTTTTTAAAGAGTAAAGAATAAGTTAGCTTGTGTTTGCTTTTGTATTTTGGGGGTTTATTTTGTTTCCTATCACAATATATTGGTGTGACTTACATTACTTACAAAAGCACATGGCTGCCCTCTCGAATGACAGAGTCTGCTACTTAGACTGTTACACCTACCAAGCGTAATAACATTAATATATTTTCAATTGACTCAGAACTGCATATTTGAATACATAGTAATCAAAATAAGACGTAGCTGTATTTCTGAATTGATTTTGAATTTGATTTTAGCTGTATATTTGAATTGTCTTAACGTATAAATGACCGCAGCATTTCCACTTTCTAGCTAGAGGTTACAAGCTGGGAAGTTTATGATAAATCTTTATCTAAGTTAAACATTTATCTATCCCTAGATGATGGAATCACATGTTGTTTTTATTTTGTTCATTATATTTTGATAACCTTTCCAAGTTTGCCAGAATGAGTATGTATTAGTCATTTTACTCAGGTCACAATCAGAAAAAAAAAATCTTTCTAAGAGGCAAGGGATGTGGCTCAGCAGTACAGCACCTGCCTGGCCACAAGGGGGTCCCATGTTCAATTCCTGGTATCAAAAAAAAAATCTTTATAAGAACAAACTTCTATAGTAAAACTAATTATATATTTAGTATATTTTAAATGGTTCTTATAAAGTTGTTATGTTTGTGTTGCAATAATCCACAAACCAATTAGCTCTTTACTAAAATTGTAACTTATATTCTAATAAGATAAAATTGGTTTCTTGAGATTTTTTAGACTGGAATGATAAATATGAAGGGGAAAACGAAATTCACTGGAACCTCCTACAATTATCCCTCAAAATCTGGCTAGTATCTCTATTTGCATTTTATCACGTTCCTCTGTACCATTTGGCCTTTAAGGGGAAGAGGAGGATGCAAAATATGGAAAGGAAAAATGGGACATTTCTCTAAAGTTAACATATAAAAATATATGCAATATTTCATAAACAACATGAATCAAGAAACCAAAAGAGAGTAACTGCAGTAAAATAAACTTTTGCCTCATTTCAATAACTCATTATATTCCTGCTGCTCAAACATATTGCTATATTTACTGCATATATTTTATTAATATTTTACAGTTATCTTACAATAGTCTAGGGACAGAGAACTAGATTGCTTTAAGAAGCTTAATACAAATTATTTATTTAAAAGTCTTGCACATAAGAACACAAACTTTGTTTATAGCTTTAACAATTCCACAGAATAAAGTCTGAGTCTATGGCTTATAGCAACAATAAATTATTTTACGGGTCATTTCTAATTGTAGCCTCAAGGAACCCCAAAAGGAGAAAAGGAAAGAAGTTTCACTTTTCAAGAATTAAAAGATTGGGGACCAAAAAACGTCATGAAGATGAGTACACCTGCAGTTAATAAAACACCACACGCTGCAGCCAACTTGCCACTGAGATTTGGGAGGACCATGAAAGAAGAAAGGAACCCCAGGGGTTCAGTCAACCTGCCTCTGAGGTTTGGAAGAAATATGGAGGCAGGCATCTCTAGGCATCTTCCTAACCTCCCCCAAAGGTTTGGGAGAATGACAATGGCCAAAAGCGCCTCTAAGACACTGAGCAATTTGCTTAGACGATCCATGCATTCACTCTCTGCCAATGAGTTACTTCACTGCATGACCTGCCAGAGCGAAGAAATCTAGAATCCTGATAAAAACAACCAACCAAGGTAAATACTTGGAAACTAGTCAAAGTGGCTATAATATAGAGCTGGTCCAGAAACATAAATAGGACTGCAGGGTTTTTTTCAAAATATGTTTTAAGAAAATAAGCTTCTTGAGAGGAGAAAAGTGAAGACAGTAATATAAATGCCTGCAAATTAATACCTGTGGAGGCCGGGTACTATAAGCATGGCTAGAGGCACATAGTAATGACATGGCTTCCCAAAGCCACCCATGGGCACCAGCCTCGTTACTCCTTAAGTCCCACAACACATCTACATCCATGCAGGGACAAGATTGAGAATTTAAGTTGGTGACATGTAACCCAGACCTCAAATGCAAATCGGTTCTTTTCCCCTTTCAATCAAAGTTTTTTTATTTTTCTGGACTTCATTTTATAAATGAAGATTTTTTAATTAACATTATCTTCCAGTAAAAAATATATATTTGAAAAAACATTTTTATACAAAGTAAAATTAACGCTTTCATTAAAGAGAAAAGAAAGCAAGGTAGCAAGCTGTGTCACCTTACCAGAGAAGCCACTTCAGAACACTTCTGGTTGATTTTTTCCCCTAATGACATTTATCTCCATCTGATTCATTATATGTTTAAGGTCAGCTATTTTCAATAGATTTCAGTATTATAACTTCTATAATTTTTGCCTATTGCCATGTCCCCAGTGCCTAGGCCCGTGAAGTAAGCCCTTAGGATTTGACAGAATTAAATGATAAGAAAGACACAAAAAAGCTCCTACAGATGAAAGCAATGGACATTTCCTGAGTCATACATGGAAGGAAAGCTGTAGTTTGCACACCCAGAAACTGGTGGGAGGAGGGAGACCCTTTCTAGGCACAAAGAGGCATGTTAGCTATGGCACCAAAGCAAGGTGAGCCAGAAAGCCAAGGTTTAGTATGACAAGAGCGAAAAAATAATAATACAAAATAGTATGTGAAGAGGAGAGGACTGAAGACAAGATGGGTAAAGGAAGAGGAGCGTACAGACATGCATGGCCTAGCAAAGGACAGGGGATGTTATTCATCAGGAGATGGAAAATCCCCATCACTTTTGTGCAGATCCTGGGATATTACACACAGATAGAATTCAGCAACTAACCAGGCGGGAGTGGGAGGGAGTGAGGAAGATGTGAATCAGAGGAAAGTTTTTAAACCTGATGCCCATCACAAATTCAGCATCAACATCTCATTCATCTCAGCTGCAACACATTTCAACTGAAGCACAGTTAGGTGTTAGACCTCTGGGTCACAGTTTTATAAGCTTTTGCGTACTGATGTTCTGATGAATGAGAACATTTTATTCTGTTTACATTTTAGGAGATGGATGTTCAAGAAAATGGATGATGCAGAAGTGAAACAAGGAAAATAAGAAGTCTGAAGCCTGCCCCTAAAGATGATATGAAACTGTGGCCTGTAAATTACAGATAGCTCTATGGTTAAGACAAGAAAAAATGGCAGGATTCTTGATGGATTATGTACCATTGATCATAACTTTTCCTTGTCCGTACAAATTACATAAAACAATTTAAAGAATATTTGTAATTTAAAGTTAACATAATTTTTGTTTGAATAAAAAGAGCATTGTGAATACTTAAGATGTCTCTGGTAATGGGGAGAGAGAGTTTGAGAGAGAGAGAAGGGTAAAGACAGAGGCAGAGGCTGAAGGCGCATCACTACCTTATGTAAAGTCACGGACACAGTGACCCTTAATTAAAAAATTAAATAGATGTGTAACCAGACAAATATGATGACAAGTAAACAAAGATAAAAAATAACTTATAAACATTTATAAATAATTTATAAACACCAACTTTTTAAATTTCATTGTTAGATTTTCAGTTTGTGAATTTATCATAGATTGAAATTTAAAACCTGATTTCTCTCGGCGTAATATTACAAATAAAGGAAACTCTTAGATTTTAAGGAAATAAAAGAAGAAAAGCAACAATTAGTTACCACTTTTAATCTTCTCTATCTACACCCAGAAGTTTGCTTCTAATGTGCCTCTTTTTTTAACATTTATTTAACATTTCAGCCTCTTGATTTGCAGAAAAAGAAAGAACCTTGTCACTCTTCAACAATTTATAATCACAATACAAATGCATACTGATTTGACTGTAGTACCAACTATATGATGTCATCAATCAGATGTAAGCGGTTTATTGAAGTCTCAGCTCTACAAAGGCACATGGGAAATGGTTTTATTTTCTTCCCCTTGTGCCCCTCACTGGGTCATGTTAATCTCCCACTCCTGCTGGGTAGAGATCCCTTAATGATACCCTGGGCAGATTGCAAAACTTTCTCGGTCACTTCTTGGTATTAAAAATCTCCGTCGAGGCTAGTTGAAGAAGCCAGCCTCATCTCCCACAGTATCCCCTCCTCCGTCACTGACAGGACTGGGGATTGGGAGGACCTGAAATAGGAAAAGAGCGAGCCCTGCCCTTTCTCTCTGCCTCCCTTCCTCATCCCAGGGGTGGGGGGGTAGGAGAGCACGTAGTAAGCCTCTGGAAAACAATCCCCCCTCCCATCTTCTCCAAGATGCTTGGGCGGGCAGGAAAGGGGTGGGGCTGCAGTGTCAAGAGTAGCTGTCTCATCCTTTCTATATAAAATTGCTACCTCTAGAAGTGAGTCCTTTACGAAGCATTTACAGGCACCTTCACTAGTCTGGAGGACCTAGATCTCTGCTACTTGATGCTGCTTGGCCTCTTTGCATTATCCTCATCTCACCTACATTCCCCATAGCCAGAGAGAAAGGCTTAAGGCAGGACAGCTGCCTCACCAAAAGCCACTTGATGCATAGGAAATGCAGACTTCCTGCCCTTCCGTACCACAGGAAGGGCTACAAGCTGCCCTCCAACTCTTTTTGCTCCTGCTTAGAAAATCCACAGACAGTCAATCTATAGCCTGAGCAAATAGCCATGCTCAGGCGACCCTACCCTCTATGATTGGTATAGTAGTCTATTTTGTGTTGTTGTAACAAAATACTTGAGGCTGGATACTTTATGAAGAAAAAAAGGCTCATTTAGTTCACAATTTTGGAGATCCAGGAGCATAGTACTGTTATCTCAACTCTGTAAGGGCCTCATATCAGATAGCATCACAATCATGAAACCACATCTGAGAATGCCATGCAATGCATGCAGAAGAATTCAAGAGAGGTGTCAGGATCCCTTTTGACAACTCATTCTGGCTGGAATTTATCTAGTCCCATCACATCTTTTTAATCCCTTAGAAAGTCTGTCTCCCTGTGAGCTAATTACCTCCCCCTAAGCTCCACCTCTTAAATGCTCCACCACCTCAATACTGCCACACTGGGACCACACTTCAAGCACACAAACCTTTAGGGGAAATGCTTAGACCATAGTTCTCAGCTCCCAAAGGCAGGGCAATGACAGCAGGCCCCTCTCCAGGCCAAACTCCCACAACTACACATCTGGGAGGCACATGGGTCAAGGCAGGGCTGCTATGGTTCTGCCATCTCTTGCCAAACTACGAAGAAGTGTCCAGCTCCCCATGCATGATTTTGTTTAATGTCAGTATCTCTATGCCTCCAGACTTTCTCCCTAGTTGCCAATTCTGTGCAACAGAAAAATAGCACAAAATGTCCTGTAACAATAATAAAACCTCGCTTGGTCCCTTAATATTATATGATTTAGGAAAATTTCTTGTCACAGAACATTGTTTACTAATGCCCAGTGTTGAGTGAGTAATCACATAGCATCTTTCCCTATCTACTTGATTTACTCTTTTGGCCTCATACCAGCCCATTCACAAGACTCCATAAGAAACCCATTCCCATAAGCATATGGGCAATTTATGATTTTGCTGAAGATTTTCAGGATCACAGAGAGGGGACCATAATTTACAGTATTTCACTCCAAGTAGTCTTCACGAGTCAGGCCTCAAGTCCCATGTCTCTCATTAACCAAAACCCGAGCTGGGTCCCTTCCTCTTCTGATTTTTGTTGCTCAGCCCAGGGTAACTTCATGGGCTTGAGGCCCATACACAAAGCTCCATGTTTGATGTTGTGTTTTGGAAATGGTTGAACTGTTTTGACAACAACCCTCAGAGAGTTCATGTTTTGGAGGCTTAGTCCTTAGTGAAACAGTGTGGACATGAGATCTATAAGAAATAGAGCTTAGGGAGAGGTCCACAGGTCACTGATCATCCTCAAAAAGATTAAAGCACTTCTCTAGAGACCCCTGAGCAGGTTTTGAGAGCAATTTGTTGCAAAACCCTGAGCATGACCTCTGATTGCTCTTTCTCTTGTGATCTAATCTCTCACTCCTCCAAACACTCCTGCCATTGTTAGTCATCCTCCATGATGTCCTTACCAGAACCACACTGATGCCAGTGCCACACCCTTGAAGTCTCAAAACTGTGACATAACTAATGCTCCTTTCTTTACAAAGTTTCCAGTCTCAGATATATTGTTAGAACCACCAAAAACAGACAATAGATGAAGTTGGTACTGAGGAATGGAGTCATTACTATAACCGTACCTGAAGCTGTGGATTCAGCTTTAGAACTGAGTGAGGGGCAGAGGTCAGAAGAATTTGGAGGAGCAGGCTAGGAAAAGCCTGCAGTGCTGTAAGTGGAATGTTATTGGTGATTCTGATGAGGGCATATAATGAGGAGACTGGAACTAATCTCCAATATAAATGAAAATTAAAGGTCATTCTTGTTAAACTATAGTAAAGAACTTGGAAACACTGTGTCCATTCCCTTAAGACTTTATGGGGAACCAAAACTGATAATGATGGACTAATTCATTTAATGGAAGAAATTCCAAAAAACAACATTCAGCTGTAGCACAGGTATGGTTCACCATTGTTAGTCAGCTTTACAGTGAGGCTGGAGAGAAAAAGGAAAAGGAGAATGATTTGGAACATCTGAGGCCGGCCTGGGAAGGAACAAAGAAAAAGCACGTAAGGGTGAGTTTGTTAAAGGGATTAGTTCAGTTAAAAGCAGCCAAGTACTTTTTT